AGATCCATCCTGTCTGTGAGAGCCTTAGTGCGATGAGTAAAGTACAATGTAGATTGGCAAACCTACGCAGACTATATAACTCGTCAGACATCATCGACGTCGGTTTCTGAAGGCAACTCACAACCAAGCATTGGCGTCTCGGGTTTCATTTTGCACACCCAGAAATAGAGGCCACCCATTGTTGGGCTACATCGCCATGAGAAGACGGAGGGCAAAAACACGACGCAGACCTACTAGGCACTGCAAATCTCAGCCAACGACAGCGCGATCAGCAACATGAAGAGACTGCAAATCTTTGAATGCAATGTTGAGTTCCTCTACACCACATAACGTCTGTAGGAGCCCGTGAGGACTCACATTCCACCCCCAGAATAGTCCGAGAGGTCCTCCAGAGAAAAGGCCTGTTTGAAAGGCACTGCTCATGCCCGTTAGGATGCCAATAGCACAGAATGAGATGCCCAGGACGCCGAAGAGAGACATGTCTCTCCGGAATTCGCTCTTGTAACCCAGCTCGCGCAGTCGCTGGTCGGACCTCGACACGGAGGCATCTTGCAGCTCTTGTGGAATGCTCGAATGCCGATCGACACTTTCCACGTCTGCGAGAGCGTTTTTCTCCATGACGGTCGGGTGGGGGGACAAGAGCAGGCCTCCCTTGGCACTCTTGAGGCCCGCGTCTTATATCACTTTGACTAGACTAGGCTCCGTGATATCTCGCAGCAGTAGACAGGCACATGACATACAAGCGGCGCACAGATGGGTATCAGAATGCCGTCGTGGGTTGTAGTTTTGATACACAGGTACATTGAGAGATAAGCGTATCCGTCTAGCGAGCACATAATGTTCTTCCACCAGAGACATTTATCCATGAGTGCCAGAAAGTCGGGAACGTAAATGAGGAAGAGAGACAAAAATCGAGTAGGCGCAGGAACAGTTGATGTCGTGGTTCATGATCAAGTCGCAGGCAGAGCGCCTGTCGACATCGCTCTCCTCAGTCCACTCATCATCCACCGCGACATTGCATCCTGGGGGACTCAAACGGTAGACCGCCTGTGTTCAACTCACGGAAATTAAACGTGGAAACTGGTCACTATACAACTGGGATAGTCTGAGCAAGCCGAAGACGCTTACTGAAACCGCGGGAATTGGTGAAAGTCCTCTCGAGGACGACAACGATGGACAATGACTACAAGACGTCTAAAGAGGCCTTCGTGTCGGGGATGACGGGCTCGAGCGTTGGCCATATCAACATGGTTTCTCTGTCGGCATTGGTGAGCAAGGTATGATTGCTTCAGTTGGCGCATGCTCAAGTCGTCCGAGGGTGTTAGATATCCATAGCCCTCTATTCCGCGCTCAAGACGCGATTACCAACCAGCAAACATCTTCATTTCCTTGGCGAAGTGCTCCTGCTCATTGCACCGCTGCTCGCATCTGTGACTGTCTTTGCGAACGCGCCTGGGAAGCTTTGTCTCATCTTGTTGGTCCCGACACTCTTGCTGCTACTTCTGCCCAGGCGAGAGGCTGGTCCATATCTTCCATCATCCCTCACCCACAGTCGCGCGTCTTCGCGGGATTCGACTGCACTGAAGGATGGCAATATCTCAGGCATCATCAGCATACCCCCACTTCCTGCTCTGACCACGTACCGCTCGCACATGCTGCTGCTGACTTTCCTGTGTATCCTCGCTGTCGATTTCCCCGTGTTTCCTCGGTCGCTGGCGAAATGCGAGACATTTGGAGCGTCCATGGTGCGTGCCTCGAAAATCCTGTGTGCGCCTATGCTAACGGTTAGCAGATGGACCTCGGCGTCGGCGCCTTCGTATTCTCGCAAGGCATCGTCTCCGCGATACCCCTCGTCAAGAATCCCCAACATCTCACTGAGCCTCTCCTGCCGAAAGTGACTGTCGTACTCCGGAAATGCTCGCCGCTGTTACTATTGGGCTTACTCAGGACCATCTCGGTGAAAGGTACCGAGTATCCAGTACGTCGATCGCCCACTTTCACACCAACTGCAATGTCACCGTCGCTCAGGAACACGTCACAGAATATGGTGTACACTGGAACTTCTTCATAACACTCGCTCTCATACCCATACTGCAAGTGCTCTTGCATCCGGCCATGATCCACCTTCCCATCTCGCTATTGGGAGTACTCGTCGCTATATGTACGCGTCAAACCCTCTGTAATGGCGAACCTCGGTTACTGACGTGAACGAAAGCCCATCAGCTTGCGTTATCCACTGGGGGATTGCAGCGCTTTGTGCTAGAAGCCCCTCGTGTAGGGGTCATATCTGCGAACAAGGAGGGTATTGTCTCCGTCACAGGTGCGCCGTCTGCAAAACCAGTTGATTAATGCCGGTTTTAACCCCTGCCGTAGGATACCTTGCCATTCATCTCCTTGGCCTATCAACAGGCACACTAGTGCTGGCTCCAACACCTTCTTATTTCAAGCGCCGCCGACAACAGCTTGCGCGACCACCCACCGCACCTCCGCGCCCTCGCACTCCGAGCAGCGACTCCGATTCGGATGATGAAACGCCTGCACCTTCACCCGCTCCCGTGCTCGAGCAGCGACGAGAGAATGACAAGACTGCGACGGAACTCTGCTCTTACGCGGTGCTCTGGTGGGTCTTCCTGGGGGCGCTGAAACTCTTCGGGATCGGCGGTGGCATCTCGCGCCGCATGGTGAACATACAGTACATCATCTGGGTCGCGGCTTACAACACGACCTTCCTCCTGGGCTACCTTGTGCTGGACCTGTTCTTCTTCCCGTCGCCATTGTCCAAGTCGGTCTACTCGCCGACGTCGAAACTGAAGGTCCACCCAGACCCAGATATGCTGAAGGCGACACGACACCTGCGAGGACGCGACCATGGCGCGGGCGGGAGCGCGCCCGCACTTCTGGAAGCGATCAACAAGAATGGGCTGGTGTTGTTCCTCTTGGTATGTAGCTCCCTCTGTTATGCTATTGATCACACACTCAACTGGAGCTGCAGGCGAACGTCATGACGGGTCTCATCAACCTGTCCATGCAGACAATGTACATGTCAGACTGGTCTGCGATGATTGTGCTCTCGTTGTATGCGTTCAGTATCTCGGCCATTGCTTGGACGTGCAGACACCGACGACTGTGGAAGTTCTGACTGTAATCCATCTCATCATAATCTGGGCAATGGTCCCTGATACCACCAGCCGGCACTAGTAAGCTACAACTTTGAGGCAACGACCCATGTAGACTTTGTGGTTTACTATAGTAGTTTACTGTGTCACGATTATGTCGTTTACTGAGAGGTCCGAGACAATAGAGAACAATAGAAATCGGCTAATAGCCTCACTTAACGTGCATTGTGATCGAGTACTTACATCTCACATGTGATTGAAGCACAGCTTCATATAAATACTAGAACGTCGCATAAGAAGCAGACTCAGAACTTGTCTATATACCACCACCACCACCATCTACGCTAGGACGACGACGGCGACACTAGTCGGGGTGTCCGTAGTTGAGGGTTGAGTGAAGGCAAGTCCCTCCTGTATGCAACCGCGTCCATGAAAGGTTAGTACTTTAGTGCAAGTGAGCTTCGGACCGGGTGAATGCACCGAGCTGAGGGCTATTTTCCATAGGCAACTGCTAGTCGCTGTACGGTACTATAGACTTCGAAACTCCTTATACTCACGGCCATTACGTTCCTTCCCGCCCACGGCGCCGACGCGCCTGTGCTTTCACAAGGCTAGTCGCCATGCTTGAACCTCACAAACTTAGAAAGGCCCCTCCAGCATCTGCGCCAGCGCACCGCATGACCAATCCAGCGCAACGACAAGCCCCAAAGGAAAGCAGGACCATGTCTCTGGCACGTTCATTGGTGGCAGGGTCGGCACACTCTCCTGCACAGACTACGAGGCCATTGGAAGAACCGATCGTCCGGGGACATGACGGGCCCAACAGAGTCTGGACGTACACCTCAACCGTACTGTCTCCGACGGGCAGAAACGTCGGCCAGCACCCCCGTACGGGCAATGCCCATAGGACTTACAACGCGGAACCTTCTGCTATCCATGTGAACGCAGCCGAGAGACCTCACGCCGGACCTGTTTATTACATTTCGCTCTTACAACAATGTGTCGCCTCCCCTGCCAACGTCATCACCCGTTCCGTAACGGCCGTGGAGCACTACTGGGCGTTGCGAGCTACTCGGGCAGAGACGATGGCCGCTGCACAAACCAATCAACAACGGGAAATGTCTGCCCTCGCGGCATCTTGGGACGAGAAACGAGCTGTATGTAAATATCCTTAATAGAGATCTGGTGAAGTCTGACATCGTCTGTGTCACTGTATAGCGCGACCTGGCCGAGCTGAACGCTCGGTTCTCGCACCAGTTTGCCATGCACGAAAAGATGATGGTATGCTCTCATGAGAGGCGGCGCTATGGCCTGGATGCTGAGCTGTCTTCCAATAGTGGATGATCCTAGGGACCTTAATCTCGGTTGTAGCAGCGCTCATCTACCTGTTAGTCAGAAGCTGCGCTCCTGCGGCTTCGTCATCCCGCTGGCTGCCACCACTTCACTTCACCATTCCGATATTGTCTCCCTTTGCATCTGTGGTACGTCGTATATTGAACTGAGAACATCTTCCTGCAATGGCGGGCGCTGAAATACACTCACAGGTTGAGCAGGAGACATCTGCCGTCAACGTGCCCCTCGTGGCTTTACTGCTGCTCGGGGGTGGGTCCTTCGCTTTTCTCTGGTTCCGCTGTGGATTGCGACGGTGACGGTTGCTGTGTCTCTATGTCTTCGTAAGATAAATACCCCCGAGTCGAACGAATAACATTAACGTAATACGATGTACCACGGTTACCAGTGAGCCCAGCTCTGATCAGTCGCATATATATGTTGCCGTTTTCAAGTTCTCAACGGCCGGCTGGCCTAATGGTTAAGGCGTCAGTTTCCGGTTCACCGGAATCAGCTGAAGATTCTGGGTTCGACTCCCAGGTTGGTCGTCCACTTGCCCGTTTAGCTCAGTGGTAGAGCGCGCCACTCGTACACCTCGGTTCCGATCGGGTTAAAGCGACATGGTGAGGTCGGTTGTTCAATCCAGCCAATGGGCACGCTTCCGGCGCTATAGTGTAGTGGTTATCACTTGGGATTCTGAAGAGTGTTCCCAAAACCCAGGTTCGAGCCCTGGTAGCGCCTCAATCTTTTGCACCGCACGAGTCCGCTGGTAAGGCACCGATTTACGTTGTTGTGCGATAAATAGCCGGGCGTTGTGGAGAGAAGCGAACACGGGGCGGCTTCGGGCGGTGTGGCTGTGCTGAAAGTGACCGTATATGTACAGGCGCCCTCCCAGAAAGGCAAGGACATGTCGGGGGATTCGCCTTTCTTGGACGATATTTGATGTGCATTGAAGAAGGAAGAGCACTTTCCTACTCAACTGCCATGCCACGGCCGCACCGCTGCCCCCAAAGCCAACGGCCTCCTCACCGTTGACCACGACGACGACCACAACGAGCTCAACGTCTACTACCCCTCTCTTGCCGTTCTCACCTACCAGCCCCTGGCCATGCCGCTCCCTCCCCGCCATCGCCTCGACGGCGACAAGGAGCGCACCGCGAGGTCCCAGGAGCAGGAGCTCAAACGCGCAAGGGGTGCGATATCTTGCGCAGA